TTATAATAGTTTATTTACAATTAGTTCACCACTAACCTTTGGAGGAGCGATCAAATATAAACCACCCCTTTTATGTAAACCCTACAAATAAATCTTATTCATTCATTTTTTTTATAAATGGTCATGATTAAAATATGTTATAATAGGAAAATAAAAAAAAAGTTTAATATTTAATCAAGAAAGGGCAAAATTGACAAACTATTGTTCATCTCATTTTTGGAAATTGGTTTCATCAATAAAAACATTTTGTTCGTTAGTGAAATTTGTTTCATTGTTTGTCTGTATAATGAAATTTGAGCCATATATGGTTTAGTCAATGGAACATTTTCCAAAAATATGAATGACATGTTTTCGTTAATGAAATTCGTTTCATCATTGAAATTAGTTTCATGGACTTCACAATTTCAAAAACAGAATGACATTGTTTCAGCAGTGAAAATTGTTGAAATATTTTCTAAACAAAATGGAATTGGTTTCATGGTTTCTAACCAAGATGAACTCGGTTTTACATATGAAACTAAATATTGTTCAGTCAATGAAACACCTCAAGAACTGAATAATAATATTTCATTCATTTTTAAATTTGTTTCATGTTTCCTAACCAAAATGGAATCAGTTTCATGGTTTATATCACTATCAGAAAACAAGGTATCAGCGACGAACATCAACAAGGGAAAAAATATCGCCCAGATCAGCGAGGGATTAACGAGGAAATGGCCAAAAAAGAATCCCTTGCTGATCCCTCGCATATCAGCGAGGGATACTGTTTTTGGTCATTCCCTCGTTGATCCCTTGCTGATCTGCGAGGGATCAGTGAGAGATTCTGTTTTTTGTCATTCTCTCGCTGATCCTTCGCAGATCGGCGAGTGAATCTGTTTTTGGCTAGTTCCCTCGCTGATCTGTGAGGGAATGAGTCTTTGGCCATATTCTCGCTGATCAGCGAGGGAATAAGTCTTTGGTCATTCTCTCGCTGATCAGCGAGAGATCTGGCCAAAAACAGAATCTCTCGTTGATCCCACGTTGATTTTTTTATTTATTAACTACAAATTTAATTATTTTTTAATTAATAATTATTAAAATATCAATTATTTATTAGAATATTACAAAAATTAATTAATGAAACCGAATAAAGCCCATTAGGCCAAATAAAACCGAATAAATTCCAAGAAAATGGATTAAGGTCCAGTAAAACCGAATAAAGCCCATTAAGGTCCATTAAACCGAATAAAGTCCAATAAAATGGATTAAGACTCAATAAAAGTGAATAAAGCTCATTAAAGCCCGGTAAATGGTTTAAGGCCCAATAAAACCGAACAAAACCAATTAAATGGGTTAAGGCTCAATAAAACCGAATAAATCCTCATATAACACGCACATACTATCTATACATTCACATATACACATACGTTTAAACATATATACATCATCCGATATATGTATCTTAAACAATATATACATCGATTCAATCGTAATTAGCAACCAGCACACATCGTGTATACATATGAGTCAAGAGCGGAGGTATGTTGGTTATATTGTTATAAACTTTCTCATTACTAAAATTGCAAACAAATTACTGCTTTTGTCGAATATTGAAGATTTACAAGTAACGGAGTTGAGAAAGAAGTTGGCAAAGGTAGAGGAGGAATTGGAGACCGAGATGAAGAATAGGGCAGATTTGGAGACCGAACAGGCCAGATAAGCTGCTACATTAGCCGAACAGGCCTCCTTATCGGAGGATTTTGCTGTGTTTATGTGGCAGCCAGGATATGTTTTCCCCCCTCCCCTACCTCCACCTCCCGGTAGTTAGATTGTATGTATTTGAAGATTAAATTGCATGAATTGAATATTTTAAATTGTATGAACTGGATATTTTATAAAGTATGAATTGGTTAGTTTTAATTTGTTCATAATTTTGGTTTGTTATATTATGGTCAGGTTTTGTGTAAATAGATACAAGAATTATGTAATTTCAAAAAATTTATTTTTTAGATTAATACAAATTAGCGACGGATTAGCGAGGGAAAATCCGTCGCTGAAAGTCCTTGAAAGTTTCGTCGCTGATCCATCGCTGAAAGCTCCCTCGTTGATCCGTCACTGAAAGTTCTCTCGTTGATTCATCGCTGAAAGTTCCCTCACTAATCCGTCGCTGAAAGTTCTCTCGCTGATATATTCCCTCACTAAAAGTATCCCTCGCAAATTCGTCGCTGATATCCCTCACAGATAGCATTACCTACAAGCATTTGACCGACAGAGTATCAGCGACGGATCAACAACGGATGACCCTTTTAACGACGGATTTACAAGGGAAATTTCTCTCGCTGATACTCTGCATTTTTATAGTAAAATTGTTTTATTAATGAAACATTTCAAGACTTGAATACTATTATTTCATTAATGAAAGTAGTTTCATGGTTCATTACCAAAATGAAATTAGTTTCATTTTTTGAAACATTTTAAAAACTGTATAACATGGTTTCATTAATAACATTTGTTTTACAAATGAAAACAAAACAATATACACAAAATCTGGAAAATATCACAACTATATTATTAATAAATCAGTAACTACTTGTGGCTTGAAAAAAAATACCGATTCTTTTGTTATTTTGACAATAAAATACATAATTTCATAAGAAATAAATTATTAAAAATAGACTTTGTAATTGATGTAGTATTTTTAATTTAATAAAAGAAATATAAAATATTAATGGTAATAATTATAAAATAAAATCAATTAATCTACAATTTCCTTAAAAACAATTACTCTATTTAATCATCCATATTAAAAAACAATCAAAACATTTACAAAGAAAAATGACATTCATACCCCTATTCATTAAAAATAAAGAAAAAAAACACTGAATTATTCTATTGGTTGATGATGTTTCTATTGTTTGCATGAAGTAGGAGGTTTGCAAAGTAACCATCCTTTTCTCTAGGTTTGTTTAATTAATTAATTAATGTGAAGAAGATAAATTGGTCCAATTCGAGTTTGGTTCTTTGTTCAAATCGAATTTTCCCCACCTTAGCAACAACAAGAAGCCTTAATTAATTTTTCATTTTAGGAACCAATTAAATTAATACAAAGCATGCATGTCTGAACTGAAACATCAGAGTGTATATATATATATATATATATATATAGAGGGATGTTATTCTACACCATTTACCATTCCTATATCCTATACAACCCTCATCTCAACTATTCAATTTTTAATCAATTAATTGTTTCCTAATATAAAGTATTAATCATAATTAATAAACTC